GTTTCTTTCCTTCTTTCTTTTAATATTTATTTATTTTATTTTATTTTTGGCTGTGTCGGTCTTAGTTGCGGTGTTCGGGATCTTTTTGCAGCACGCGAGATCCTCTGCTGAGGTGCATGGGCTTCTCTCTGGCTGTGGCCCGCATGCTCAGTGGTTGCGACACACGCGGGCTTAGTTGCCCCACGGCATGTGGGATCTTAGTTCCCTGACCAGGGATCGAACCCGTGTCCCCTGCATCAGAAGGCGGATTCTTAACCACCGGACCACCAGGGAAGTCCCCATAAGCTACTGGTTTCTTTCTGCCTCTTCTAGGGGAGTTCTTTGGGTTACTTAATTGGAGTTTGAGCCTGATACGGCAAAAATACAATGTTTGTAAGCCAGCCTGAGGACACAGGTTTAAAGAGCGTGAGACCACAAATTCACGTCAGACAAGATTACTGAGCTAATGGAATGAATGAGTGAATGAATGAATGAACGACTCTCCGAAGAAGTAGGTCATGCTGAGAAGGATTTTTGTCTTTGTCCTGAGGACAGTGGGGAGCCATGCAAGGGTTTAAGCTGAGGAGTGACTGAGCTCTGCACAGTGATGCGGTCATTCTGGCTGCCCCGTGAGTGGATTGTGGGGGGAGGGGAGGCTGTTATGCTCCTCCTGGTGGCTTGGCCTGCGGGTGGCAGTGGAGGAGATGAGAAGTGGGGGGATCAGAACATAGCTGGGAGGTGGTGACTAAAATACAGCAGGTGGGCTGAGGGGAGACGAGTTGAGAACAACTCCCGGTTGCTGGCTTGAATGACGTTTCCTGAGACAGGGAAGTGGGGTTGGCGGGGTATGCACAGGCTCAGGGGGCGGGCGGCTGAGCCCTAACGCCTGTATCCGCATGTGAGTCAAGGGCTCGTCCTGCTGTTACTGGCAGAGCTGCTAGCTGTGCTCAAGAGGTTTGTCTTTGACTGGAAGCAAGAGCCCGTATCCCCATCACTGACTTTTCAGCCCACCAGCCATCTTTCCTACAACTGGAAATAGCATTAACACTGTACTTTGTGTCACTGTACTTTGATCAACCCCAGATGTCATTCCGTTTTTTAAATTTTATTTATTTATTTATTTTTGGCTGCACTGGCTCTTCGTTGCAGCGCGGGCTTTTCTCTAGTTGCGGTGAGCGGGGGCTACTCTTCATTGCGGTGTGTGGGGTTCTCATTGCGGTGGCTGCTCTTGTTGCGGAGCACGGGCTCTAGGCGCGCGGGCTTCAGTAGCTGTGGCACGCGGGCTCAGTAGTTGTGGCGCACAGGCTTGGTTGCTCCGAGGCATGTGGAATCTTCCCGGACCGGGGATAGAACCTGTGTCCCCTGAGTTGGCGGGCAGATTCTTATCCACTGCGCCACCAGGGAAGCCCCCAGATGTCATTCTTCCTTTTCAAAACTTTGCATGAGGGGGACTGAAAGTTTGTTACTCATGCCTCAGGGGATATCTTTATATGTTTTGTCTGTTATATCCAAGAACTTACATGTTACTCTTTATTCATTGCAAATATCTATTTTATAATTATAGGTACCATTGAGAAGTTATCACTTCCTCTACAATAAAAACCACTTAAAATCAGAAATTAAAAAAAAAAAAGGTTCCAGACTCCATCTGTCAGTCTAGCACAGTAGTTATGTGGGCTTTGGGCCCAAGTCCCAGTGGTTCCAAGATATGCTGTGTGACCTTGGGCCTGTTACTTAACCTCCCATAACCTCAGTTTGCTCATCTATAAAATGGGGGTATTGATTGTACTCACCTCCTCATGTTGTTATGAGTTTGAAATGAGCTAGCAGATGGAAAGCCCTGAAACAGTGCCTGTCCCATAATGAGCCCCGAGGAAATGGCCTGCAGGAGCTGCTTACAGATTTTGCAGGAGGTTCTGCACCTCCCACTTCAGAACTCGCTCTGTTTCCTCTGACCCCTCTCTCTCTCCACCCAGGTTCTCTTTCCGATCAGGGAAGCAGACATAGATCTGGGACCATGGCTCAGTTCTCAGAAGACGACTTCAAAAATCATCTCTCAGTGCCAGTGCGTACCCACTGCACTTGCTCCTTTGTTTCCCCTCAAAGCCGTCTGAGGAGGAACGGATGAAGTTTTCTCCCCGGCTGCAGAACTGAACACCCCCGAAGGCTGGGCCAGGGCGAGTGAAGCGGCACAAAGAAACCGAGAAAGCAGAAGGAAAGCGAAACGGGGCCACCTGCAGCCCCACTTCAACCCCCCAAGAGGCCCCCAGCGTGCGGATGTGCTTTCTGCTTCTCAGGGCTCACAAACGACCCAGGTCTTTACTGCGTAGCTGCGAAATACACCAGCCCAAATCGGGGTGGGGAGAACAGGATGCAGGACAATCTGGTATGGACTTTGCAGTGATGACTTCACTGGTATTTGGTGACTATTTGATTTTGCTAACGTGACTTTCTTTACATGATTTTTTTATTAAAGTAAAATGACTTTTACACTTCCTGTGTTTTAGAGTGGCCTCTTAGAGTTCCGTGACCTTGTGTAAGTTACTTCAGCTTTTTGGAGTCTTGGTTTCCAAATCTGTGAACTGTACACAGTTGACCCTTGAATAACACAGATCGAACTGCGAAGGTCCACTCACACACAGGTCTTTTTTCAATAGTAAACACTGTAGTACTGCACGACCTGCACTTGGTTGAATCTGCGTATACGGAGGAAACTCGAATATGGAGGGCTGACTATAAGCTGTATGCGGATTTTTCGACTGTGGAGAGGGTGGGTGTCCATAACTCCCTGCATTGTTCAAGAGTCAAATACACACACACACACACACACACACACGTATATATACATATATAACGTATGTATACCTACATACATATATATATATGGTGCACATACATCTCATTGAATCTAAGTGAGGCACCATTATTTTGTGTGTTGCTATGACAGGAGAAATGCTACAAATTATAACATTAAGATGCTATTGATTTTAAGGCTTATCCTGATTTCAGCCATGTTAAAATGTGGAAAAAAATAAGTGCATTTAGGAATCAATGAAATACAGTCTGTAGATAGCGGGAGACTATACTTTGCAAAGAAACTAATGAGCCTGCTGAACTCACCCTATGAGCCTGTCTTCTTAGTGAATAACACTGGCTTACTGAACGTGTTTCCCTGCTGCCCGGATTATCTCATTTATTCCTATAACATCTGAGGAGATGGGGACTAATACTAATCGTCCAGTTTACAGATTTGGAAACCAAGACCCCAAGAGGTTAGAGTACTTCACACGAGGTCACGTAGCTGGGAAGTTACTGCCCAGAATGCACACAGAGGCCTGATTCTAAGGCCTCGGTTCTTATCTGACGCTCTATGTACCCTGATTCTCCAAAAAGTGCAAATATTAGTAATGAGTGCAATTTACTGTATGCCTTGCCCACACCTATATATGTTGCCTCACCTTCTCCCTATGGGATGGGCGTTATTATTATTCCCGTGGTTCACCCAAGCACATGCCAGCACAGTGGGGCTAAGGGGCTTGTCTAAGGCCCCAGCTGGAAAGTGATAAAAGTGGGACTTGAACCCAGGTGCCAAGGCCAAGACCACTCTGCCTCCCAAGAAGAGTCGGCAATGTTCAAATGTCTGATCCAGAATGCCATCTCAGCAGCATCTTAGATCGGGGGGGTCCTGATTCCTGTAACGCTGCAACCCTGACTGGTTGCTGCCCTCTTAACAGCAGGGAGGGAGGAGGATTTCTGCACCTTGGAGGTGAGAGCTGACTTGGGAAACGAACCCGAGCATCCTGACTTCAGAACCGCAGACGCTGGGGTGTGGCCGTTGGAGCGCCAGAAGCTAAGTTCTTGGAGCCGGGCCCAGTGTGACCACAGACAGCAGAGACACGGCCGCTCCCACACTGCAGGCTTCCAACTCCAAACCCAGCCCCAGGAGGAGCAGGCTTAGAGGCAGTATCTATCAGTCCTGGGCAATTGTAAACAGGGAATGATAGAAAACCACCCAAAATTTTCATCCTAATAATAGCTAACATTGATTACTGAGGATCATCTATGTGCAAGTACTTTTTATGTCTCAAACTCATCCAATCCTCACCATCACCCCGACACAAGCACCAGTGTCATCTTCGTGTCACTGGGGAGGAAAGTGGCACGCAGGGCGGTTAGGTAACCCGCCCAAGGTTACACAGCTGCTAAGTGGCTGGAACCTGAGGTTCTGTTCCAGGGCCGAGCACTTGGCCACCAGGCCACACTTCCCCTCCAACGTGAGGAGGTAGTAATACGTGACGACTGAATCCTGCGGAAACCCCTGCAAGGCAGGTGGGCAGAGGCTGTTCCGAACCTGATGGACAAATTTCAGAGGGTAAGTGATTTGTTCAGACAGCTGACAAATGCTTAGAGCCGATCGATGCTGGGAATGGCTCTTCCACCTGTAAACCAAGGACTCTACCCACCGTCCCAACCTGCCTCTAGTGCCTGGGACTGAGGGAACTAAGCCTCTCAGGGGCGGGTGGTGGCGTGTGCGGTGGGGATGGCGATCTGGGCTGGTGGCGGGGCGGGGGACACGACGACTTCCAGCACCACTGAGACGCCTACCTGAGAATCAACTCTAGCACGTTAGAAACAACAATGACAGTTACTGACAACAGCTAAAATGTATGCTACTTGCCAGGCATTGTTCTAAGGGGGCAACATGTTTAACTTTTAATCTCCACAAGCAACCTCTGACCCCCCACCATGATAAAAACGAAGAGACTGTCCCCTAGGAGGACAGTCACCAAAACTGATTCACACTGGTGCGTGGCCCTTTGTAAAATAAAACGGGAATTCCCTGGCAGTCCAGTGGTTAGGACTCCGTGCTCTCACTGCCGAGGGCCAGGGTTCAATCCCTGGTTGGGGAACTAAGATCCCACAAGCCGTGCAGTGTGGCCGAAACAAAAAACAAAACAAAACCAAAAAAATGCAACCTTTTTTCTGCCTCTGCCTTGTAAAAAACAAACAAAAAACACAAAAAACCAGAATGACACACGTAGCCTCGCCTGGCAATAAATATTTTAATTTTCATTTCATTTTTATGATGACAAATAATTTTCAAGTTTATTTCCTTTTTTTTTTTTTTAAATACAAAGCTAAACCACAAACAGGTACAACCAAGACATTTTATCTCACATTTACACACTCCCATCAGATCCTCCTCCAATTCACTGACCACTGACCAGGCAAGTGTGGGGTGGGGGGAAGACTTTCTTAGGTAGCACCGTCGTGAGACCGGGACAGGGGCACTGAAGTTGAGGACAGGCTCTCATACCTGTCTCCATTCACATTTACCTGGGAGCAGGGGGCCAGGAGACCCCACGTCACGGCTCCAGAGCCCCAGGCCCCTGAACTACAGGTTAACAGAAAGTGGGAATCGGTTTCCCTTTGGGAGGAAGCTACCTGCTGCTCTTCCTGCTGTCACAGTCGAGGTGAAAACTTTACCCTTAGCCGTGATCCCTGGGCCGCTGGGCCCGCCCGCTCCCCTGCGCTCCAGCAGCTGGGGTGGGGACCCTGCATTTCGGGGCTTGTAGGCTCACCCTTTGGTTCATGGCTGCATCTTCACAGGAAGGACACCAGGGGGTCTGACAAACAAAAGCCTTGACAGCAGGTCTGGAACTTTCAACCCAGCAGAATCAGGTTGGGGTGGGGGTGGGGAGGTGGGGGATTGGGTAAGTAATTTCTGGTCGCACTACAAAACTTTATTTTTGATTAGAATAGTGTACCATCTCAAATCTCTTCTACAGAAACAAAACCAAGGGGGAGAAAAAAAGCCAAACTAAAAAAAAAAACCCAAACAAAAACGCAGCCACGTCACTCACTTCAAGACCTATATACATGTAAGTTGTCTTCTGTGGTTTCTTTTTTTTCTTTTTTGTTTTTTGATTTTTATTATTATTTTTTTAAAATAAGCTCAGTGTTCACATTTCTATAAAGAAATTAACCCAGTTTCGGGAACCCCTGCCCGGCAGGGCTAGGTAAGCAGTGCTTGTTCCTGCCCACATCTGCTTTGATTCCCCGCCCTGATGCTTCGAGGTGCCCAGAAAAGCGGCAGCCCGTGGAAGAGTAAATCTAGGCCCGGCCCGTGAGCCACCGGGTCAGTAAGCTTTCGAGAAAGCAGAGGGGAAGACTATCTTACTGTGAAACCTTTTTAAGGAATATTCGTGCACTTCCACGTGCGCCTGTCGAGAGGTCAGGAAAACAAGGGCCTGGGGACATCCCGTCCAGGCCGTGAGGAGGCAGCTCTTCCTCGCGCCCGCCTGGCACTGGGACGTCAGGGCTGAGGAGGGGAGAGAGTCCCGGCTCCTCGGGTGCACGAAGGCGCATCGCCCAGCTTCCTAGTTCGTGTTCGACTCTTTCCTCTAAAACCTGTGCTGAGTCTTTGACTGCATGCACGGGAAGCACAAACGTTTAACTTGTATGCAAAAAAGGTACAAAAACAACCAGAATATAAAAGTTTTGGTAATATAAGGCCATCTGTTCAAGTCCACCTTGGAAACCTGTAACAGATATTTAAATACTACAGTGAAAAGGCATCTTAATATACTTTTTTAAAAACATCTGAAGTAATCTGCTAAGATTAAATGTGTAAAAAAAAAAAAAAGTCAATTCCCCTTGGGGGCACTTTGGGCATTGAAGAAGGGGGGGGGGGGGGGCGGGGCCGTGGGGTTAATGCTTCAGCCAGGGGTGGGCTTCGATGGAAGCCCGGCTGCGGTCCCCATAGTCATACAGGAGCTCCTCCCCAGCCTCGATGTCGCGAGAGGCAATGAGGATGAGGTGAGGCACGCCGTCGATGTCGTGCAGTTTGGTTTGGCAGTTCCCACATTTACTGTGATTGATCAGTCTTCCCAGGCGATTTGTCTCTCTGGTTGCATCCACGCTGGTGGGGAGGGAGGGCGACAGAGGATTAAATTGATAAAGAGGGTTCTGAACCCAGTCAGAGTCATGCTTGCTCTCAGCTCTGGTGGGACGGTTATTTAGGGCCACGTTTTTGGGAAAGCGAAGTAACTCAAAAAAAATATCTTTAAGAGCCCAGAGAGGCGCTCGGTGTGGGGGATCCGAGGCAGGGCGCAGGCCTAGACGGGAATGCAAAAGGCTCTTTGTGGAAATTCTGCATAATAAATAAGTGAATAAAAATCAACTATGTTGACAGTGGGGGGAGGCCGTGCGGGTGTGGAGGCAGGCAGTACATGGGATCGCTCTGTACTTTCCACTCAGTTTTGCCGGGAACCTAAAACTGACCTAAAAAGTACAGTCTATTAAAGAAAAAGCAATCAATGACACTGCCACACTGGGGACAGAGAAGTCAGCAATTCCCAGAGCTGTTCTGGCCACGGGTCCCAGAGGAGAGGCCAGGTGAGCCCCTACGCAGGCTTTCATGAGACTGGTCTATGTCTTGTCCCACGAGACGGCATCCAGAACCGCTCCGATCCCCAAAATTAAACGTGGGAAGCGGGGGAGTGGGGGAGCTGCATCCCAGCTTTGAAAAAAGGCAGCAAGAACTAAACAAGAAGGGGGAGCAGGAGAGTCAGGATGCCCTCGGTGGCCCTCTGGCCGGACCTCTGCCGGGGCGGGGAAGAGCCACTCGAAGCACTAGGGGACTTACCAGTAGGTTTTGCTCAGATACTGAAAATAGTACATGTAGCAGCCCGTGGAGGGGTCTTGCGCATACAGAGCCTCCCGCTTCTTGGCGTCGGTGATCTCGATGAGGTCCCCGTGGTATTCCACCACAAACTCGCCCCGGGAGAACTGCTTGGTGGCGATCACGCCCCTGCCTTTGCCGTCAATGAGGTCAATCTGTTGGGTGGTGCCAAGAGTGAGGGTTGGTTCATAACAGCAACAAACGCCACAGTGCAGCGCCGGCTTCCAGGGGGCAGGAGGCTTGCACCGCATTCTTTGAACAGCTTTACTGCGGCAGGCCATAAAATTCACTCATTTCACATGTACAGTTTGATGGGTATTAGTCAACATATACAGCTGTGCAACTATTGCCACAATCCATCACCCCAGAGTTCCCTCGTGCCCATCTGCAGAGCCTTGTTACGCCAGATCCTGAGAGATCTGCTAGGTGGGTGCTGCCCCATTTTGCAGGTGAGAAAACGGGATTAGAGAGGCAGAGTTGTGTCCACGGCCACAAAGCTAGGAAGCCGTGTAGCACAGACTCAAATCCACGTCCTGGCCTCTTCGAGGGAGTAGTAGGACCCAGTGTTCTGAGTCTCTCCTTTATCCCATAATTAACCCTCCTGGGTTTCTCCTCACTCCATTTTAAATGGAGATGGAGGGTGATTGCTTGAGGGGTCCAGACTTAAATTCAGATCCCCCTAGGGCAGCGGTACCCATCCTTTTTGGCACCAGGGACCGGTTTCGTGGAAGAGAATTTTTCCATGGACGGGGGTGGGGACGTTCAGAGGTGATGCAAGCGTTGGGTAGCGGGGATGCGGGGATGCGGCTTCGCCCGCCCGCTGCTCACCTCCTGCTGGGCGGCCCGGCTCCTAACAGGCCGGGGACCGGTATTGGTCATGCAGCCCAGGGGTTGGGGGCCCCTGCCCCAGGGGATTCCCTGGCGGTCCAGTGATTAGGACTCTGAGCTTCCAATGCACGGGGCACAGATTTGATCCCTGGTCAGGGAACTAAGATCCCACAAGCCGTGCAGTGTGGGCAAAAAAAAATTTCAGGTCCCCCTCAACGGTGGGTGGAAACTGAAGCTTTCCAACCCCTGGGTCCTAGTCCAGGGCAATCTGGCCACCACTATGGAGACTTGCTCCCCTCTCATCCACCCAGTGTGTCTGAAATATACGAAGAGAAAAGCAAATCTCCTGGGCATTAGCATTTCCCAGGAAAAGAGTCTAGAAAAATCTGATCAGTTTGTCCTTTTAAAAGTTTCCCTAAGCATCATGCTAAATGAAAGAAGCCAGATAAAACAGGCTACACATTCTATGATTCCATTTGTATGAAGTGTGCAGAATAGGCAAACCCATAGAGACAGCAAGCAGACTGGTAGCTGTCAGGGGCTGAGGGCAGGGAACGCGAGTAAGTGCAGATGGGCTCGGAGTTTCCGTTTGGGAGGATGAAAAAGTTCTGGAACTAGACAGAGATGATGATTGCACAACTGTGACTGCAGGATGTACTTAACTGTACACTTAAAAATGGTTACAATGGTAAGTTTTATGTTGCATGTATTTCATAATTTTTAAAAAGTTTCCTCAGGGTAACATCTCATGTTTCCTTCGTGAGGCCTTCCCTTTAACGATACTTTTAGCATTTGGTCCCTCGACAACCTGTAACAGCCCGCCTGGTCACAGTGACCATCAGAGGGTTAAAGCAGCGCAGCTCCTATGTGAGCCTCTGCACCAGGGAAGGTGCGACTTCACAGCCTTAACTTCCACGCAGTGGGCCCTGCGGCCCCTTACCTTCATTCCTTCTTCTTTCCCACTTTCAATCAATTCGTCTATTCTTTTCCTTTCTTCAGACTGGGTGGGGAGAAAAGGAAAAACGAGACGTGCATCAGCATTCTCTCCGAGGCCATTCCAGGAGCCCCGGCCACCCGCAGGTCACTTGCAGTTGGCCTCCAGGGCATTGGTCCCAAAGGATGCCCAGGCCCCCAAGCCCCCATCCTTTCCTCAATGCCCATCTGAGGCAGACCATTCGCCACCTGAGGTTTAAAGAGGCCAAGAGGGAGACAGTGGTGGCCCCAAGGGCAGAATCGGGCTTGTGGCTATGTTCTGTTTGGCCCACGCAGACTTCTAGAAAATAGCGAAATTGCTGACATTTAAAAATCAGGACTCTGACTTCATACGACAGCAGCCAGGGCTGTTCAGAGGCTGCGCCCTTTAGACGGGGTGCGTGTGCCCACCGCCTGCTCACTGCGGAATCTTCTGGCCTAGAACAGTGCCTGGCACACAGTAAGCCCTCAAAGCAACAACGGCCCCCCGCCACCCCACATGCACACACACAGCTACCTTGTTAAATGATGAATCAGTTACAAGTGTGCAGAGATAAATGGGAGTAATCATGGGAGAACTGAGATGGGCGACGGGGGACTTTCCTGCCATGACAGAACAAGGCAGAGGAGACAAGCTGAGGAGAGCCGGGGCCGTGGAGGCCCTGAATGCACGGCCCTGAGTTTCACTCTGGAGGCTCGGGGGTTTGGGGCATGTGAGCAACCAGCTCTGAGCATCCTAAAGAGGATTCTGCAGCAGCCCACGGGGGACCCAGGGCCTGAGTGGGCGGGAAGGGAGCAAGGTGTTGTCTGCGGAGCTCTTTGTCCGTCTCACCCCCGCTGCCCACACCCAGCCCCGGGCCTCGGTTTCGGCCGGCCCCGGAGGGCAGGCAGGTCAGGCCTGACCTCACCCCTGAGACGAGGCCCAGCTGCCCCGCCCTCGGGCTTCACCTCTGCGGTCAAGAGCCGCCACCGCCCTGGCAGCCGCAGCCCAGAAGCCCGGCCGACAGCTGCCTCGCCGTCCTGGCCGGCGACCACCTGGCCGCGGTGTGCGCGCGGCAGAGCCAACACAAACGGCGGCAGGCACAGCGTGTCTCTCCCTCGCCGCTGGCTCTGCATCCAGGGACAGCGTGAGCTTCACTGTGCCGCCTGCTGCAGGGTCCGGCAGACCTGCGGCGCACCCTACTGCAGCCTCCACTGCCCCGACAGAGAGCCCCCGTTGTTGTTGTTTTTAATTAAAAAGGCCAACTCAGCTGCCCCCCCGCCCCCCCGCCCCACAGCCCAGAGCGGCGCCTGGTGGAGCCCCAGCCTCCCTGTGTGGGCGTGGCGGCTCTGAGCTGGGCTGGGCGGCGTCCCGGGTTCTGGGGGCTGGCACCGCCTCGCCCTCTGCAGTGGCGTCTCTACGATGACCTCACACCGCCTCCCGCTGCAGGCAAACAGCTTGCAACAGCTTGTTCTTGGCTGAAAGACGCTGCCTTTCTAAGGAAATAAAGCCAAAGCTTCTCTCTAGGGGGAAAGATGGACCTCCCCCACTTTTTAAAGGAAGTCCTGCCAGTTCAGAGGTGGGGGGGCGGAGAGAGGCTAGATCACCATCTGTACAGCCACAGCTCTCACATCAAAAGGCTGAAGTGGTCTGTTCCGGTTGAAAGGCCAGGCCCCCACCTCTCTCGTGGGGGGCAATCCTGAGCGCTACTCCCAAGCCTGCGGGTTATTCTGCCGCTCCCGGGGTGGGAGGGTGGACAGAAGCAGCCGGGGGCTGCAGGGCCCGGCCACACCCTGGGTTTCCCTAACAGAAAGGCAATAACCACACCTCACTGCATCAAATATTGATCGCCTGTGCACAGCTCAGCACTCTGCAAACACGGCAGGCAGGGGCCTCACAGCCCAGTCAGCCTTCCTGCCTGGTATTCGCACGTTCTGAGGGACAGTGGCTGGGTAGGAAAGAGCAGAGAGGGGCCCCAGGAAGGGACAACACGGGGGAAGCAACAGTGACAGTAGTTAACAGGTGCTCAGTGCATACCAGGCACAGTTCTAAGTGTTCTACGTGCATTAACTTAAGAATGTAGCCCTCCCAACAACCGCACACGGTACTACTTTATTATCCCATTTTACAGACAGGACAGAAAGACACAGAGCGGTTAAGTAACTGGCCCGACGTCATACAACCAGGAAGTGGTTCCCAAGCCACTGCTCTTCGCCACCTCGAGACATGAAACTTCTGGACAGCAGAAAAACAAGCCTCCCAAGAGCACGCAGCCCTCATGGTCCTAGGCTCCAATGGCCCTGCCAAAGCCACTTTCATGGTGAGTCCTGACTTTCCAGGCCACATGCTACAGGCGACAAGGCTCCTTCACAGAGGCACCGTAACTAAGCTTCCTGGTGACCCAGAGCGTTATGACGGCCCCCACTAGATCAAGGAGAATATCGAGGCCATGGAGGCCAAGAGACTTGTCCCAAGATGATACAAAGCGAGCTCAGGCTGTGCACGGCAAGCACTGCCCACTGGGATGCCCTGTCCCTTCCGAGAGCCGGAATCAAAACCACGTGACTCTACCTGCAGCTCAGCTTTGCTCTTCCTGGAGCTCCTTCGAACAGGGTAGAAATCTGTGAGCTTACGATTCTGCTGTGTTTTTCCTTGAACTCTGGGGTGAGAAAGGAAGAGGAGAAAACAAGTATTAGCACCGAGACCGCATTCATGTCCAGGAGGCACACAACCCCTGAGCAGCAGGCTCCTTGGAAGCCATGTCACTTCAACACCTCTGTCCACCGTGGCCCAGGGTCACTCAGGCTCACCTGCCCACGGAGGCCTCAGAGAGAGTGTCAAAGACAGGCTGCCTACTCTCGGCGGGGAGCAGGCTCCTGAGCTCTGGTCCCATGACAGACCAAGATGCTGACAAACAGTGGCGTCCCCAGTGGCGACTCAGGAATCTGAGCCTTGACGGCTCAAGGGGCTGAGAGGGTGGGCGGCCTCACCCCTGCCGGCACTGGGCAGGCTGCCCTGTGTTAGGGGTGGCCTCCAGGGGGCACTTACTTTTTCCTGGGAGCCTGTTTGGCCCTGACGGGCTTTTTCAGGGCTTGCTTGGCGGCAGCTGCATTGGGAGAATCACAAGACGAGGTCGGGGTTTTGGGAGGTTCTGTTGCTTCAGATTTTTGGTTTGGAAAAGGGGCCAGGGGACCTCTCCTGGCGTCTTTGATCTTCTGTTCCTCGGCCTTCATGGAGCTTCGTATTGCATTCCCAGAGTTTCTTTTCTCTGTGGGCAGAGGGTGGGGGGAGACAGGCTGACTCTGGACCCACCGGCTCCCGCTTTCCAGCCCTCAGCCGCATGCTAAGACAGGCTTGGAGAGAAGAGAGGGATGGGGCATGTTGGGCAGCCGTGCCCTTGGGCTGTTAAGCCTGGTGTCCACTAAGCAGTATCTTGGGCAAAGCGTCTAGCTTTACTTTTTGACCCAGACACTGGGTGCAGCTTTTGGTCTTCTGCATCTTTTTTTTCTTTTTCTAGCTTTGTTGAGGTATAATTGATAAATACAATTATAAGATATTTGAAATGTTATACCATGATGAGTCAACATATACATTGTGAGTGGATCCCTCTCATCTAATTAATCAACACATCGGGCCTTCTGCATCTTGAGGGAAAGAGCCCTTGAAGCAGAAGCACCACGGCCAGCAACACTGGCGTGAGGGCTCGACCAACGGCTTTTCAGGAAATGGGCTGCAGACCCCAGGGAAAAAAGCTAAATTCCTAAAGGGTGGGCCAGTGTTGGTGGACAGGAGTAAGGCAATAAAGCAGAACCTCTCCCCAGCAAAGACCTCTTCCCCAAGAGCTAGCTGCCTGGAGTGATTCATTTCAGACTCGTTTTCTTTTTCTTTTTTTTTTTTTAAATTCCCTGTTCTAACAGGGTCGAAGCCCAGTGTTCACAGTGGTTCCCAGCACGGTGCCCCGACACCAGTCAGTGTGTTGTGAGGGACGTCGCCAATGACTTGTTACTAAAAATAGTTGTGGAGCACCAGTGTTGGACTATTTTTTTTCAAAAGAGATTTTATTTTTAACAGATAATTAAATAATACATTGCTGGTGGGAATGTAAGATGGTGCAGTCACTTTGGAAAAGAATTTGGCAGTTCTCCAAAATATTAAACATAGAGTTACCATATGACCCCGCAATTCTAGTTCTAGGAATCTGTCAAGAGAAGGAAAAGCAGATTCTACACAAAAACCTGGACATGAACGTCTGCAGCAGCTTACTAACAGTCAAAAGACGGAAACAACCTGAACGTCCATCAAACGATGAATGGGTAAAGAAAATGTGGTACATCTGCAGGATGGAATATTATTCAGCCACAGAAAGGAACGAAGTACTGACACAGGCTACAACATGGATGAACCCTGAAAACATTATAATGAGTCAAAGAGGCCAGACACAAAAGGCCACATATTAGATGATTCCATTTATATGAAACGTCCGGAATAGGCAAATCCATAGAGACGGGAAATAAATTAGTGGCTGCCTGGGGCTGGGGGAACGGAGGAATGGGGAGCGACTGTGAATAGGCACAGGTTTTCTTTTTGGGGTGATGAAAATGTACTGGAGTTTAACAGAGGTGATAGTCGCACATATCTGTGAATATGCTAAAAACCACTGAATCGTACCCTTTAAAATGGTGAACTTCAGGATATCAGAATTATATCTCAATAAACAAAAGAGAAAAATAAATACATCAGCACCCATCCAGACCATTCTTGCTCCTTGTACGCCCTCCTGGGTGGAGGTAAGGCGTCAGGCGTAACCCTACAAGTGGGTGGTGCTCGTGAACATCAGCAGTCATGTTGAGTCTGCATCAAGGCAGGAAAAGGGTCTAGAATCATGGACAAGAACCTGGACCTTGGGGTCTCCTCCAATGTTCCTCCAGCCCCCAATTCTGACTGTCGCCATGTAGTAACACTACGAGTCAAATCAGCTAGCTTGTGCCCCGTGTCCCCATTTAGGACAATCTACATCCTGCCCCGTTCCAGAGGGGACGTGAGACTGGCTGAGTGCCATCTCAAAAGAGCCCCTTCCCCAACCCAGTGTGGTGAGTGCTGTCCTGAGTGCTGCCTACGCTGAACTGCGGGGAGGGGCAGGCCGTGATGCTCGCAGCCCAGTGGGGAACAGGCTGACGTATGGAGCGCTCACAAAGCCGCCCCCAACTCCTTTTTTTTGGCCGCACTGCATGGCTTTTGAGATCTTAATTCCCCCGAACGGGGACTGAACCCGGGGTCCAGGGCAGTGAAAGAGCTGAGTCCTAACTACTGGGCCACCAGGGAATTCCCTCACAAAGCCCATCTGCACCTGCTCTTTAACTGACCTTCAGAATGGTCCTGTAGGACTCCTCTCTCTCCCACTGTACAGAGAGAACGGAGGCTCAGAAAAGAGTAGCAAACTGCCCACGTCCCTTCCTTTGATAAATGGCAGAGCTAGGATTGGAACCTTTAAGTCATATGAAGTAACATCACCCTGTGTACCAGGGGGAATCAGGCAGAGGGCTGGCTCCTGCCCCTGGGTCTCAGATCTGGCCCAGAGGTTGGGCTACCCCATCCCTTACGGCACTTTCTGTTAACGAATACAAAGCTTCCTTGTACGGAGCTGCTGATAGCCAGAGTTTTGCTTCTCTAAGGCAAGGTTTAATCAGAAGGGAGCACAGTGAATTGCGGAAAGCTCACGCGCACCGGCGCCCCCGCCCCGCCCTCAGCTTTAAAAGGGAATATTTGGGTTAGAACAAGATGTGTAAGAGGTCTCAGCGTGTTTTGCAGGGCCAGACAGAATTTTCAATAACCATTAATTTTCTTGCTCAATATTTTAACCCCAAATCTCATTCCAGAGTATGATGCTCCAGAGACTAGCACTGAACACTTGAGTAGAAAGAAACTTTAGAACTGAGGTCAAGGCCACCTCATAAAAGGGAAGGAAATCAGTTCCTTAGGTTCACACGCCTCAGCGGGAGTGCAAGCGCCTGGTCCGGACAACCTAGACTCATAATTTCTGTACTTTTAGCACCTGTGAGCCTCTCTAACAACAGGCCAGGTGCCGTATTGTTGCAACTTGGCAAGATAATCAAGCCTGAAGGACACGCTAACCCTTGTGAAAGCAGGGAGAACCTGTCAGACCAACAGGGCACACGCCCTGGAACAGGCAGCTCTTTCCCCCTTGTCTGTGTTTCCCAGCAGCAAGACCAAACATGGTTCAAACCTCTTGAACTTTGGCTTGAAAAGGCTGGATAAAAATTTAGCACATTTACATTATTCTGCAGGATGCGAGCGGGCCAGCTATGGTCAGAACAGGGCCATTTCAGAGGCTTACCGTCGCGTTTCCTGTAGATTCCGGCTAACGGCTTCCCCTGGCATTTGACTTCGTGATGTGCAACTGAGTTCTCTTCCTGAAGGGGGGAACGCATTCCAGAGCATTTGTTCGGGCTCATGTAGGTATAGATCTTTGATTGCCCGGTAAATACATTCTCCTAAAACGACAAATGCATATTCTGAAAGAGGCTTGAAGAAGAAGATCCCACAAGATTTAGGCAGCCAAGGGGGCAATCAGAATACAAGAGACAAAAAATAGACAACATCTCTCAAAAACTGGGCTACTCCAGCCCCAGCAGAGCAGTGGAAGGTTCAGAATCCCCCAGGTCCAAGTCCGTCTCTAATTCCATTCGCTAAGGGGGGACATCTGGCCAGCAAAACCAGCCGTCCACAAAAGTCTATATAAGGAGGAGGCAACCTACCCGTAGCAAGGAGGTCAGAAGGACCAGGGTAAACAAGGCCGGGATGGGAAGAGCTGGCCTAGTGCAGGAGCCGACTGCCCTGGCAGGAGCTGCAGGGACTCTGGCACAGAAGCGGGCCTCAGGGAACCTGATCAACCACTTCTCAGTCCTGAGGTCAGCTGGCAGGACCTACCATTACTGCCTGAGCCTTCTGTGTGCCCAAGCCTGGCCCCTCTCAAATCATGCAGCCCAGTAGCCTCCAAGGACTGCGGGACTGGGCTGCGGTTGGGGTAGTTCTCTCGGGCTAACTGGGGGGTGCAGAGCTAAAGAAAGAAACGCCTAGAGCCGTCGCATTTAGGGCGGTTACTCGACTGCGGTGGGCAGACCGGTGGGGCGGACAGGTCACTGCTGGTGTCTCTGGGTGTGCGGCCTCTCCTCTGAGTAAGCACAGACAGGAGGAGGGCCTTCCCAGAAACCCTACTGAGCCTTTCTGCCTGGTGAGCCATTCAACACCAAGTCAGCGAGACCCTGTGACCTCCCCGAGGGCCCCGGGCAGGCCCCGCACACTCTGGGAAGGCGGCCACCACAGGGGTGGCTGGGTCTCGGGGCCTGGAAATGCCATAAAGACACAAACTTTTACGAGGTCAAACACTGCCAGGGTCATGGCGGAGCGGGTGTGGACGCCACTCCCAGGCAGGCAGCAGAAAAGGAAGCTGCCCGGCCGGGCGCCCCGCCCGCACCCCCGCCCCAGGGCCGCGGGGGCGCCCACGTGCTCTCGGAGCGGGGTCGGCAGGGGCGCCCGGCCGCACGGCCCTTCGGGGCGCGCCGAGCGAGTGCGGGGAGGGTGCCTGCTTACCCCGTTGGTGCGGGGCCTCCCCGGGCCCCTCCGCTCCACCATCTCCGGGCCCGGGGCCGTCGCTGCCACCGCCGCCGCCGCCGCCGCCGCCTCCACCGCGCGGGGCTTGGACATCTTCCTGCCTGGAGAGGGGGACCCGGGGGAAGCGGGGGAGGGGGCGCTCAGGGCGCGGCGGGGCGGGGAGCGGGGCCGCCCGGGCCGGGCGCCGCGGCGGCGCCTCCCGCCGCAGCCATGTTCGAGGGCCCGGCGGCGGTGGGCCGCCCGCGCCGCCGGGAGGCCGGGGCCGGCCGGCGGGGCCAGGCCGGGGCCCGAGTCGCCCTCCCGCCGCCCGGCCCGGCCGGGCCCCGCGCGCCGCCCGCCCCCCGCGCGGCCGGGCCCGACACACCCACCTGCAGCCCGGCCAGGCCCATGGCGGCGCGCCCCGCGCCCTCGCCCTCGCCGCCGCCGCCGCCGCCGCCGCGGCCCGGCCACCAGCGCTGCCGCTGCCGCTGCTGCTGCTGCTGCCGCCGCCACCAGCGCCGCCGCGGCGCCCCGGGGAAGGGCCGGCGGCGCCCCACGGCGCCCCCTTCCCCCATGGCCTGCGAGGCAGAGCCCGGCACCCGCGCGCCGCGGCAGCCCCGGCCGGCCCGGGACCGAGGACGCAGGGAGGGAGGCGCTGGCGGCGCGTCCTCCGCGGCCCGCCCGCTCGCCGCTGCCGCCACCCACCGTCCGCTCCCGGCCGGGGAGGGGGCTGGCAGGGGCGGCGCTGCGAGGCTCCTCCGGAGCAAGGGAGGGAGAAGGGGAGGGAACGAAGGAGGGCGGGCCCCGCGGCCGCGAGGAATCCCGACTCGGGCGCGCCCCCTCTCGCGCGTCCTCAGCCACTCGGGGAGGAAGGGGTGTGAAACATGATAATGACAGCTCGGGCTCTCGGCCGGCCAGGCTCCTACTCTCGCTGGCTCAATGGCTATTTCGGGAGACCCGTCCGTGCCAGGCGCAGTCGGCAGCGGTGAACGCGACAGGCGAGAGCCCTCTTGTGTGCCCGAGCCTGTGCTCACGGAGTGTTTTCCTGGGCGTTTAACCTTCCCGGCAAGCCCCTGGGGGCCAGGTCCTGTGGCTAACCCGTTTATGATGAGGATACTGAGCTTCCAAGGAGGGGCAGAGGCTTGTCCAAAGCCACAGAACTAGAAAGCGATCAGGTTAGGTGTCAAACCCAGGCGGTCTGCACCTGACCGGTCCGGACCCTGGGGAAATAGAGCCAGGAATTATAACGGTATGTTTGCTGGGTGCTTCTTTTGCATACCTTATGCCATTCAGACCTCACAACAGCCCTTTGAAGGTAGACACCATTATTTTCTCTTCCACAGACAGGGAAAACAACCTCGGAGAAGTGAGGAGCTTGGCCAAGTTCTCAGAACTAGAAATAGATTACCAGGCCAACAGACCAGAGCCTACACTCCTGGCCACTAACTTCCAGGTTACAGGTGAGGAAATAAACATAGAGGAGCAAATGGTGTTGCAGAGGGTTTAGCAAGTCACCCAAGTCTCCTGTCCCCGAGGAAATGTCCTGGGAGGCAGGGGTTCCAGTATACCTTACTGCCCTGAACCACTGTGCTGTAGCCATTAGGGTTTGAGGGCCCATGGCCAAAAGAGTCCCTGTATTTGTTCAAAGTCATAATGCAAACAAGACACCTCGGGGCATCTAGCCTTGGGTTATGGCCTGAGAGGCAAAGATTGGGTATCTCTCCCTGCATCTGCCCCAGAGGTGCTTTGTGACCATAGCCAACTCCCTTACCCAGACTAGGCCTCAGCATCCTCATGGATAAAAACTAAGAACTATGAATTCCATAACGTACCCAGGGCACCTTTGACATCCACAGATAAACAAATGGCTGTCACTTTAAGTAGCTGCCTCCCCTTAGAAGGGATAAGACAGTGGATTAAATGGCAAGACACTGCTCAGGACAACACCTCCCAAATCAGCTCGTGCTTTAGAATCCTTCAGAGCAGGGCTGGGGAACCCCTGCCATACCCATCCAACCACTGACTCCAGTGCGGTAGGCTAGTCTGCCCACTTGAATACCCAAGAGACTATGCAGAGTTAGGATTCTAAAGTGACACTCTGACACCCAGGTTGAGCCATCTGAAACAGTGTCTGCTACCTCTGCAGGGCAGAGAAGGTTTGTAGTTTGTTGCCAAACTATCATGGGAATCATGGTCTGGAGGCAGGAAGCAGAAGCTCAGATCAGCTTGTCCATTTCTCATACTATTTTAACTCCCTCGCCCCCACTACACACACCTACTCAGGGCTATAGCTTTCTCCATCATAGCCCACAAAATGCAGGGGATACATTAAAATACAAGTCTAGCACCCATTTCTCTCAACTCTGCAGCTCTAGTAGCTAGAAAATTTAGTTCAAATCCTTCAGTAAAGTTTCAAAACACTTTGTTTTGTCTGTACATGAGGTGTTCATATGTGCATAACAAATACATATACCCAGTCACAGAAATAAAAACTCTTAATGTTGCCCAGGGTCTCATAGAAATAGAATCCAACAGCAATGATACTAATAGCTTGCACTTACTGAATGTTTACTGTGTCAGGCCGTACAATAATGCATTATTTAATTTAACCTTCCCAACCATTTATGAGAAGGTACTATTCTATTTCACAGATGTAGAAATCAAGGCTTGGGGAAAATAAATCACTTGCCTAAGGGTCACATGACTGAGATACTGATGGATATGAGGATACTTCGGCATAAAAAAAAGTATATTGCTTTCCTCAAACTCAGACACTAAAATACCAATTCATTCATTCAACAAGCATTTATTGACTACCTACTGTGTTCCAGGCCCTGTGCTAAAGACGCAACAATGAACACAGACAGAGATGGAGCACATTGAGGCGAGAGGGGTGGGTAGGCCCCTTACAGGCCAGGGTGAGGATGAGGACTGTGGATTTGATCCTAAGAACAAAAGGGGAGGTTAGGGGCAGAAGGAGTGGTGAGAGTCACACGATAAAAATCTGTGTTCTTGGGGACCACTCTAGCTGCTGAGGCACGATAAATTGGAGATGGTCACAGTGGGAAGAGGGAGACCAAGTATGAGGCCATCTGACAGTGGCAGTAGAAATGGGGAAAAGTAGATGTACGGATCCTGCCCAAAGTAATATCCTTGAGGCTGTAAATATTTACATGATTGTAAAACTTCAAAACCAGAGAGGAGTTACCCAGTATCTGAACATTTTGTTCATGTGACTCCGCAGGGCTCTCAAAGTGAACTACAACTTAGGAACAAAGACCTCTTTTCTAGAAGAAAAAGACTGACCCTTCATTGGGCGGGGGTTGGGGTCATGTGAGTCACTGAGAATCATTAACCAGTACATTGCAAAGTTGATTTGTAACCTGCTATGGTAGAAGCTGGGTATACTCATCTTCACTTTGGCTAAATAAGGGAGGTAGAGTGGAACAAACAAAGACACAGAATGGCCAGAGTCTGGACAGTGACTTTGGACTTCAGCTTCCACCTCTGAAAAATGCAAGTAACAGTTTGTAAAGATTAACTGACATAATAAAGCACCTGGCCCTCAATGGTAATTATTACTTGCCCATATTGCCCATATTGAGTATTCAAGTATTTCAATGGCAAAGTGGTTCATTTTGTTTCCCCCCAACAGATTAATTAAAACAAGCTATTTTTTTTTTTAATGCACTACTGTTAAAACAGGTAGTTTAGGGCTTCCCTGGTGGCGCAGTGGTTGAGGGTCCGCCTGCCGATGCAGGGGACGTGGGTTTGTGCCCCGGTCCGGGAAGATCCCACATGCCGCGGAGCAGCTAGGCCCGTGAGCCATGGCCGCTGAGCCTGCGCGTCCGGAGCCTGTGCTCCGCAACGGGAGAGGCCACAACAGTGAGAGGCCCGCGTACTGAAAAAAAAAAACACAGGTAGTTTAAATGATTTTGCTGCTGTGATGGGAAAAATGAATCAGGGAAGCACAGCTTTATTAAGATATGTCAGATAAATTAGTCAGATATTATTAAATATACTTTTAGATGCTTAACCCTTTTCTGAAGAAAAATATTTAAGGCATCTTACTTTTCTGTGTGGACTGGGTTACGAAGCTCTTTAACATGAAGTTCACTATGCCTCATTTCTTAATCATAATCTAGGTAAATCTTGTCCCAAAAGACCGTAAAGGGATGCTGGGAGAATAAATGATGCACCTTGGTGCAAGGGCTGAAAACAAAGAAGCCCAATAAATATTTGCTGAATGAATCCTTATTTTATTCATTATGATCACCACAGGGAGCATACTGCATTAACGCAAATTCCTACTAATATGTAATACCCTGAGAATTTTGAGAAAAATGTAAAACCTCAACTTATTTCTTTTAAATAATAATTCAAGTGAACCATCACGCTAAAGTTTTTGCATGAAGGAGACAGCGGCTGGAAATGACCAGCGGTTGGAGATCACTTTGCCGCATAACGTGGGTCTTACTGTCCTGACAGCCAACTAACTGCGAAGAACTTCAGGCAGGGACATCGCCTCCCTCGCTGCTGCACAAACCCACCCAAGCCATCTCCCGTGGGCAGGAGTACTGATCAGCTGCGGCGCGAAGGGCCGCCCCGGGAGGTGCCAGGGGACCTGTTTCACCCCAAAGTGGGCCAGCGGGGCCCGTCCCCGCCCCGGCGGCGCAGAGCTGACTCAGGGAGTGGGGAGGGAAAGGAAGGCGCCTGCCGCGGGGTCCACTCCGACGCGCTCCCCACCATGTAGGTTACCGATCTGCGCCCTCGCCTCGGGGTCACCTCCTTTCCTAACAAGAGAGAGCCCTTAAGCAGGCGAAGCCTCGCCCTCCCCCCATTTGTATCAATGACAACCATTCCCTGGAGGTGCCCTGCGCTTTAGTTTCCAAACAGCTTTGACATATGGCCCCATTGCGTCGGGAGAAGCAGGCCACCGGGTGCCCACACTTTAAAGAGGGGAAACCCTCCCGTCGGGAGTGGGAGGGGTTTCTGGGGGCTTCGGAAGCGAGGGTGGGGACGAGGTGGGGAAGGTTCCGCAGCCCCTCCCCCCCGCACCCCAGCTCGTCCCCGCGTTCCGTGCGAGCAGCCGGCGGGAGAGCACCTCCCTGCCGCAGCTCCCGCAACCTCGGTCCCGCCTCCAGCGCGACCCCCTATCCCAGCTGCCCCGGCGCTGGCCACCCGGGCCAATACCTCTAGCCATGGCCGCGCTCTGTCACCGCCTAGGATCTCCCGGGAAACGCAGCTTTCGAAAAAAGTTACAAGTGTAGCCAACTGCTCCGCCGGACCCCGGCTGCTGCCCTGATTGGCGCCGCCGCCCGCCTTTCCCCAGGCTGCCCGCCGTGATAGGCGAACTCGAGAGGGAAAGCCCGCCCTTCTCCCCTCCTCCCCGGAGGGGGCGGGGCGAGCGGCCGCACTTCATACAAACGCTTTCAGGACAGGTCCCAGCGGAGGATGTGGGAGGGGGTTTAAATTTTACCGTCTTCCCACGTTGATTGGCTGCGCTGGAAGGACATCCGCGCTGCCATTGGGAGGCCCCAAACTCCGCCCTCTCCGGGTGCTGCAGCTCCGCCCCGGGGAGATTTAGTCACGCGGCTGGAGGCCCGGACTAGGATTAGACCCACTCGGGACTTCCGGTTTTTCGGGCGTTTGACCGGAACCCGACCTTTGACCCCTCGACCTCCCCTTTTGACCTGGGAAGCCTAGGTCCCAGCAGTTTAACATCTGCACCCCCTTGACCATTCCAGCAGTTTAATCCATTCATTCCTAAATTGAAAGGTTTATCGAGTCCGCTTTTACAGTATTCAAATACTAACATGTACTAACTTGCTGCCCAGTGTCACCCAGCAATTTAATTGCAGGTCCTGGATCAGTCTTTTGACTGTTAGTCCACTAGAGGGCTACCTTAACCCCACGGAAACAACCGGGCACCTTTCTCCACCCAGGGGAGCTCGGTGGTAAGGTCCCAGAGAAACATAGGTGTCCTGGGTATTCTTTGCTTTGAACACAGGTAAGGTGTCCAGTTACAGCTCTTCCCTGGGGATCCCTCCTGGACATAGGAGGAGAGGTCACTCATCCATTCTCTCTCTTCGGTCCCCAAGAAGATTTTGGAATCCCCACCATTGCCCAAGTACCCTACCATTGCACCAGGAAAGTAGGAGAGCAAAATAAGGTGATATATGTGAAAACACTGGGAAAAGTAGGAAGCAACACTTTTCTCACTCACTGTGTGCCCTTTGGTATATTATTTCAGCTCTCTGTCCCTCGGTTTACCCAGCTGTCAAATGATGGAGTCAGCTGTGATCTCCAAGTTTCCTTCCAGCTTCCATAAATACATAGAGGTTTTTACTTTCTCTAAAATGCATTAATTCAACATTTATTGAGCTGTATACCTGACACTGTCTGGTCCCCCAAGGATACAGTGGCAAATAAGACAGATCCCTACATTTTTTAGGACAGAAACAAGCAAGAAATCACTTTTTAAATATTAAATAGTGATTAATGTTATGGGTGAAATGAAAACAGGGAATTTTACAGAGTGTGAGTGGGGAGATCATTGCTTCTATGGATTGGTGAAGTCAGAGAAATCCTCTTTGAGTTGGTGGCTTTAGGTTATACCCTAAATAAGTGAGTCCCAAGGGAGAAGGTACTTGTAGGTAGAGGGAATAGTGAGCGCAAATGCCCCAGAAGTGGGAATAAGTTTGGTTGTCTGGGGAAAGAAAAAGAAACCCAATGTGATCGGAACTGAGTGTATGATGAGAATGGAGGACATCAGGCTGGGAAGGCAGGCAGGGGCTAGATCACATAGGCCCTTGAAGGCTGTGCTGGTCTCTCAGCTCCAAATTCACTCTTCTCCACCCTGCTCTGCAATATTTGGGCTGCAAACTGTAGTGCACCTTTGTCAGCTAGTGTTAGGTTCTGTCAATAGGCGAGGATACAGGGAGACTGGAAGGCAGGGGGAGGGACTCACTCCTGCCCGTTTGCTTGCTATTCCTGTCAGAGTAAGTAATGACATTTTGCTTCTGACAGGCCATTTGGTTCATTCTCCAGGCTCTTTCCAGAAATAGCCTCAGCGTGCTACCTCAGAAGTACCAGCAGCAGCCCCTCTTCAGAGTTCTGAGCCCCAGCTTTGCAGGGCCCCTCCCGTAAGCTCTTGAAGGGCCAGTGCCAATGCCATGGTGCCCCTTTCTCAGCGGCATAAGAACCAGCCCTCCAGGAATCCTCTTCTGATTCTTATTCTCTGTTAACCCCAACGGATCTCTTTGTTCTCCAGCCCTAGAAATGGGAGCTGCTTCCTGCAGTTATTATTAAATGACTTCAGTGTTCCCTCTCTGCTTGTTCGGTCCTCCACCACCTGTTTAATGAATTTCCTATTTTAAATTCTGTTTTCCTGACCGGACCCTAATGGACACAAAAGCCATTAGTAAGGACTGAGACTTTTATCCCAAATCTGATAAGAAGCCACTACATGGTTTTAAGCCAAGGGTAGATGGATAGATTGGTCAATCTGAACAGCAATTTTGCAAACAGTTATGCAAACAGAAGGATTGCAAATAGCTACAGTTACAGTAATCTGCATTGAGACTCGGGATATTGGAAAAATGTGA